TTTGTTAGTGATGGAGTTTTGTCCCTGGCCTTTTTTTTTTTTTTTTTGTCTCATGTCACAGATGACTGTTTCGTACAAACATAGCATAGTGGAAGAAAAAAATTCAGAAGCAAAGTAGCCAAGCACATGTTGTGATGGCCACGAATGCTTTATTGGAATCCTTCCCCTTTGCTCAGCAGTAAACTTATTCCCAGCACCCTTCCCTCCTGACTTGTCCTCCTCACTGTCTAGTTTCTGCTCTTACCTTGGGTTTCCTGTGAAGTTGGAGGGAAGTTTGTTGTCATGTGACACTAGCCGTCCTGCCCCTGCTGTCAGAGACTTGTTCTCCAGAGAGGTGCCTGTCCTGTGCTTGGATAGTCAGTTGGTTATTTGTGTATGAAACCATGTACAAATCAATGTTTTGAAAATAATGATCTCAGACTTTCTAAGTTAAATTTTAAACAATTTGATTGTTTGCCATATTGGGTGGGTTTACTCTTAGAATCGCATGCTGTAGAAATGCTCTAAAGTGCATATAGGACTCAGTCCTTAGATGTTCTTTTTCTTTTAAAAAATAACCTCTTCAAGTTGTAACCGTGGCGGCTTTGTCCATTACTGTTGCTACTCTGCACACATATCAGAAGCAGCAAGCGCTTTACACGCTTGAGTAGTGGGATAAGTCACTGTTTTCTTTACTTTAAAAAACAAAACAAATAGTCCTGTTGGGAATGATTGCTGTTGGATTCAGGAGGGGAGGGGGAAAGCTGCTCTGCTGCCTCTTTGCCACTTCCTGGAAGCCTGCCTCCATGGAACAGCCTTTTGCATTCGAGGCAACAATTTTTACACCATGCAGATCTTCGTGGTTATCATCTCAAGCCATGTTCAGCAGCAGCGTTTGGACAGCAGTGTTCTGTGGGCCCTCCCCTCCCCCTGTATCCTGCACCCCTCATAGCAGTAGTGGCTTCGCCATTCTGTTTTCTGCAGTGTCCTGTACAAAACTGTGCTGTGACTGTGCAGTAGGCCTGGACCTGGCAAAGAGAACACAGCGAAGCCCCTTCTCTTCCTACCAAACAACTCTGTAGAGCTCTCTGCACCCTGTACCCTTTTCACCTTTTGTATTTAATTTTAAAGTCAGTGTACTGCAAGGAGGCTGGATGCAAGATAGATACTATATTAAACTGTACTGTTATTTAAGATGTAATAAAGCAGTTTGACATGAGGGACTCTGGTGTGATGATTATTTGATAGCAGTTTCAATATGTGGAGGTATCCACATGCCCCACTTGCTGACTCAACAGTTATGTAACATCATGAGAGACCCCCTATAAAGTATCAGCTCAGGCTGAGTATCATGGCACACACCTTTAATCCCAACACTCAGGATACAGAGGCAGGTGGCTCTCTTTGAGTTTGGGACCAGCCTGGTCTACTTAGTAAGTTTCAGAACAGCCAAAGCAATATAGTAGAGGAAAATCTATCTCAAAAAAAAGTGGGAGAGAGGGCGCTCCTGAGAGGTTCCTGATAATCTGGTTCCTACACATCTCAGGCCTTGTAGAACCACTTGTTTTCCAGGACAAGTGGCTTTCTCCCCTCAGCATCTGGGCCCTGTCTGCCATCTCCTCCATTGGCCTCTACCAACCACCTGCTTTGGCTTCCTCTCCCTATTTCCACACTAAAATATCTGAGGATCTCCCCCTCCAAATACACTCTTTCCTTCTGACTAAGCAGCATTTCCTTCTCATTGAGCAAAGACCACTACATCTTGAAGGCGTGAACATCAGCCTCAGAGGTGTTGGAAATAAAGCTTGGGGTGCTTTTACTAAAGTGCCTACTTCTGGGCTGAATGACAATTTTTCCTCTTAAGTAAGTTTTAAGATTATAAGAGATGGGCTGGAGCGATGGCTCAGTAATTAATAGCACTAGCTGCTCTTCCAGAGGACCCTGTTTCAATTCCCTGCACCCACATGGCAGCTCGCAACTGTAACTTCAGTTCCAGTGGATCCAACACCTCACACAGGCATACATGCAGGCAAGACACCAATGCACATAAAATAAGAATTTTTTTTTTTTAAAGGAAAGATTTTAACTAATTTTCAGCCTTAGATACCCTATGTACTGACTGGGCCAAGCCCCCTTTGTTTGTTGATGGTAAGGAAATCAACCAACTGAGGTCAGTGGTGCCCCTTCAGAAGAGACTCCCCTAATGTTGCAAGCTATGGTGTAATTGGCAGGCTGAGCAGATGGGTTAGCCTAGCTTAATCCTCCCCCAGTTTCCCTGAAATAAATGTATTCTTCAGAGACAAAAACCCTTTGCTGCAAGCTTTTATCTACCTCAACCCCCACTGAGAAGAGTACAGAGCATTTGAGGTTCTTTCTGAACTGGATGGAAATACTGGTGAGGTTGACCATACTCCCAACACTCCCTTCTTTCTGTCTTTCGGAATCCACATCTTAACCTGCTTCTGCCCTGATTGCCAGCAGGCCCCGTGGGACTAGAGCAGGTCTGTCTCTGCCTCAGAGGGCTGGAGGTTGGTTGTTTCTCAGCCAGCATCAAGGCTACTGCCCACTTGTTAGCAAACAGCTATTGAAAACGTGCCCACTTCAAACATGGGCAGCAGTGCTGGCTGAACAGCATACAAAGAAAGGCCCAAGGCACAAGCCTTTCAGACCAGGTAGAATGCTCCGGTTTTCACAGCTTGCATTCACCATTTATTACACATGCCTTGAAGGGTGACTGGAAATGCCAGGCTGCCCTGTGTGTAGTCGCCCAGCCTGCTGCCCATGGTGGTGAGTACACCTGTTCCAAGTACACACAGGCAGATGAATGGCTACTGCATCTTAGGCCCACTTTCAATGTGTCCCTCCATTTGCTTCCAGCATAGGAAATTATCCCTCTGGCAGTAGGATTCCAGTTCTGTTGGCCTGTAAAGGGAGCCACCTCCCTTTACATCCTCTTTACTTCCTCACATCATACTTCTGAATCTACCTCTCCCTGTTCTTCCTTTCCCTTATTTAACCCTTAGAAGACGGTAAGTCCTGGTGTTGGAGGCTTGAAACAAAAATGTGTATAATTGCCTTGATTTCTTCCTGACACCTCACCCCATGTGACCTTTGATCTACTTTGAAGGAGCCCAAATTAAACACTGGGAATCTTGAGTACCCTCTGGCCATTCCCAGCTGTTAACTAGGTTAGTATCATCAGCCTTGTGGTCAGAATGAGCACTTGGTTCCCAAGTCCTCTGAGTTTGGTGGGGCCCACTAAAACAGTGCACAATGTCAGCTTTGTTCCTTCCTCTGAAATGGGGAAGCCTGCACAGTCCAAATCCTTAGCCTCACTGTAGACAAAGTTTCCTTAGCAACCACTGGACACTTGATATTTTTATTTAAGTGTACACAGAAAGGTTTCTTGCTGTTTGACCTTGGACTGCAAACCACAGGCTCGATCCTTTGCAGGGGATGATTACTCCCACTCTGGAAGTCTCTCCAGGCCTGGCTATGTGCCTGAAATGTACCACTAGATACCAGTTGAGTATTATAGTACAAAACAATAATAACCCAAAAGCACAGTTCAAACCTCCTGTGGGTGTGGCTGGTGCTCACTCTGGGGAAGGAGCTGGGCTTACAAAACACATGAGGAAGTTACAAAACTTAAGAAATCCCCTCAGATTTCTTGTCATCCTACCCCCAATTTTGGGTCTCCACTGTGCACTGACCTGTGCTTTTTGGAAGGACAGGACACAGACCTCAGAAGTCCTGACCAGAGAACATCCTGACTGCAGCAGGTATTGGGGCTGTGGGGAAGCCTGGAGATTGGGCTGTACAGGAAGGGCAAAGCGAAGGGTGCCAAGTCCTGCCAAATGGAGCGTAGAGTGAACATCTGAAAGCCACGGTCTGGGAGTCATGAGACTACAAAACACCTACTGGTGCGCTATCCACACCGCTCATGTTCTAAGGCCTGGTTGTGAACGGGGTATCCAGTTCAGCATACCTCTGGACCAGTTACAAAGTTAGCGCTAGTGGCCCTTTTCTGGGCCTCCCTTTTTCCCTCCCTTGAAGCTGTGGATGAGGTACACTGTCACCTCTCAACTGTCAGAATATTTTTCCCCGAGACAGGGTCTCACTGTAGTACCCCTGGCTGGCCTCGAATTCCTAGAGATCCTGGGCTCTGAGTGCTGGGATTAAAGTAGTGAACCACTATGCCCAGCCAGCTGTCAGGTTCTTCACCGTCAGGCTTAAGACCACAGGCCCAAATTCTGGAGACTCTGAAAAATGCGAAAGGCCTCGTGAAGTGCCTCACGCCCAAGTGAGCGCCCCCAGGCACAGCTGGCACTTGAGTTGTGATTCTGAATGCTATCAGGTCCATGTCCTGGTTAAGAACAACCGGGGAACAGGAACCTGTTGGGCAGCTCACGTTCCCACCAAGCTGGCCCGCGTTGTCCCACAAGGTCCTGAAGACCTCGCCCGCAGAAACAGGGCGGGGCGTAGGTCAGGGATAAAGATCAGATCCCAAGGCAAGGAGGCAAAAAGCGGGAAGGGATCTGGTGCTGGTTGCTCTTCTCTGTGGCGGCTGAGACAGTCAAAAGGGCCAAGCAGCAGCTTTCTACCTCTCCGGCCTGTGTTCTGCTTCCCTATTTTGCTTCCTCTCCCTCTGCCCCACCTCCCCGCTCTGCTCCGCCTTCTTCACTATTTGTCCCCGCCCACTCTTCCGCTCTTCCTCTCCTCTCCGCCCTTTTCCGACCTGCCCTCCCCACCTCCGTCTCCTCCCCTCTACACTCTTCCGAATCCCCACCACAACACCCCAATTCCTCCCTGTGGCCCCTCCCCTCCCGTGCTGTCCCGCTTCCGCCCCTTGTCCTCATCCAGTTCCGTTACTCCCCGCCTCAGCTCCTTTGCCCCGCCTCCTCTGTCCTGCCCACTTCCTCTGGCCGGGCCTCCTCCCTTTGCCTCGCCCCTCTGTCTTCAGGTCTCCCTCCCGTGCTAAGAAAGGCGTGAGAGAAACCCCAGGTTTGGGAGCCGGTCTCTCTGGTTGCGGCTGCGCGGCCCTCCCCACGTGCTCTGCAGCGCATGCGTATGTCTCGCGCTTGCGCACTGCCAGCCGCGGCGCCCTGCTGCTTGGTGTGCCGGACTCTGGACCGAGCGGCCATGGGGTGGCGGGCGGCTGGGTCACTGAGGGCCAGGTAGCAGTAGGGCGGCAGGGACCGCTGGCTCGGCCCAGCATGTAGACGTCCACGCGGGTGCGCGGCAGCCGACGGTGAGTGCGGGGCCTTGGGTCGCCCTCTGCCCGGTGTCACTTGCCGCCGGAGGCCCGTGGAGGCTGGGTCACTGCGCCGGCCCTGCCCACCTGCCCGAGGCCGGACGCTGGTGGCACTGACGCGCCTCTCTCTGCGTCCGAATGTGGTGTGGGCTGCGGCCAGGATGACGCGTGGTCTCGGGGACGAACCTGTGGGACAGATCTGAGGATCCGGCCGGGGGATGGGTCCGGGGGACGAGTCAGAGGTTCGGGTCCCGGGAGAAGCCAGGGAGGCCACTGTTCTGTACCTGACCCTGACTAGTTCAGCGCGCCCCACCGCAGCCAACTCAGCTCCACTGGTCTTTCTGGGGCCTTAGCAAGTAGGAGAGGGCTTGGCATGTGAAACTTCAGAAACCAAAACTCACCAAAAAGTAGTGAGTTAAGCGTTTTGTAAACAATCGGGGTGTGGATTTCTCCAGAGTCACATTTTAAACTTGGTATCCAGTACTTGCCAGAAAATTCAAGAGTCCTGAAGAGTCCTGAAGAGTTCCTAAAGGCAGGTGCCTCTCCTGACCCAGATGTCACATTAACAAGCCACTAGGCTGGTGCTCTGGCAGCTTTCTTAATTGTGGGAATAGGGCGTGCCCATCACAGCCCCGGGGTCTGTCCTTCCTTGGTCAAAAACTGGCCTCTCATACCAGCTCTCCTCCCAAGCAGTGGGTTTTCTCCTAGCTTTGATTCTGAATAGCAAATTATTTTTCTTATTTAGTAACAGTCTCTATTTCAGTTCAAAACTTATTTGGCTTGGCTCTTGAGAAGAATGTTTTTCAAAACTATATTCATTTATTTCGTGTATCACTGCTGGTTTTCACAGGCTTGATGGTGGCATCCTTGCCTTAGTAATTTAAGCATCTTGC